TCTCCTCTTAGGCTTCTGCTCTGGTGTCTCTTTTGTGATCCCTCTCCCTTCTAAAGTTGAATTAATCAGCGTGTGCTCTGTCCTCTAAAAAGACTATGTCACGTGGTACCGAGGTTTATACAGCTGGCTCCCCTTTAGCGTGCTTTGTGGCAGAGGAGGAATCCAGCAGAAGCCACAGGTAGGCAGGTATGTCTTTTGCTGCCTGATCGTCCCAAACATCATTACATGTGTTTGACGGAATTTTGTGTGTTTGCTTTGTTTTTCAAGCGGTCGTTTTATGTACTAGCGTGCTTATTTATGGGTAGTATATAGAGTCAACCACTGTAGACAGCTTCACCATGCTCCTCAAGTTCTCTCTGTTCTTGACTTGGCCTTACAAATCCCTGTCTCTGGGCAGAACACTTTCTCACCATTTCTGCCGTATTGCTAAAGAAAGTCACAAAATCCTGCTTATTGGCCCCCATCACATTTTTAGTGTCTAAACCACAGCGGGGCTCTCAAGAGTGCCAGGGCAGCATTGTTATGTGGTTCCAGGAGATGTCCCTAAAAAAGTGTACCTATGGGGGCGCCTGGTTGGCTCAGTTGGTTAAGCGTCCAACTTCGGCTCAGGTCATGATCTCACAGTTTGTGGGTTCAAGCCCAGCGTCCAGCTTTGTGCTGACAGCCAGCTCAGAGCCTGGAGCCTGTTTCAGATTCTGTATCTCCCTCTCTTTCTGACCCTCCCCTGCTCACGCTGTCTCTCTCTCTCTCTCTCTCCCTCCCAGAAATGAATAAAACAAAAAAAAAGTGTACCTATTCAGATACATTTATGAAATTTGGCATACTCTATGGTCTCTTCTGGGAGACCCTTGGGATAGTGTCCTGAATTGAGGCTGGGGACCTTTAGCCTCATTAATTGTTCTTCACCTTTGAGGGAATGAATAGGATGATTTATTAGGTTGTGGCCATTATTTTCTAGCAAACTGTACCAAGGCCCAAGTATCTTCAGTTGGAAGACCATTTTGAGAATGGTCTTTTGCAACTCCAAAGTCCTTTTTTGAGAATTATATTTCTTTTTCTTTTTCTTTTTTTTTAGCAATTGTATAGCTTTATTACAGCAACTTTACCACCATGCGGATTCCATGCAGTTTTCCATGGAGACAGTCCTATCACCAGAGAGTAGGCTGCTTCCTTTCCAGTCTTTATGGTTGTTTCGTTTTGTTTTTGTCTCTTGCCTCACTGGGCTGGCTAGAACACCCAGGGCTTTATTAAATAGAAGTGGCGACAGTGGACGTCCTTGTCTTACTTCCAATCATAAGGGAAAGGGATTTAACATTTCACCATTACATATGTTGCTAGCTCTAGGTTTTTCACAGATGTCCTTTTTCAGAATAAAGAACTTCCTCTTTTCCATTTCCAGTTTGCTGAGCCTTTTTACTTGTGGATGGATGTTAAATTAACATAGCCAAATGCTTTCTTTTTTCCTGCACCAGTTAGGAGAATCGTAAAGTTTTTCTCCTTTATTACTATAAGTGAGGGGCTTTATTTATTTATTCATTTATTCATTTACCCATTTTTAAGATCAAACCAGTTTTGCTCCCTTTGATAAACCCTACATTGTAATGATGTGTTACCTTTTCTGTATATATAGCTGAGGGTGACTTACTAATATGTCTTACAGATTTCCCCATCCAAGAGTAGCAGACCTTCCCTTTGTGTTAGTGCAGGGTCTTGGGTCCCCAGCCAGTTTTTTTGCTCCTGTGCTAGCATCAGATAGCTTTTTCTTCTGCTTATTTCTCAGCATCAGTGTATCCTTGTTTGGGACTGGTGGTGGCATTGCTTCCTGCCTTGTAGCACTAGACTGCGGTTCCTGTTACCAGGGGAAAGGCTTGTCGTGAGTGGTAGGTGGGCAAGGAGGTTCTGCCCCACCCCCCAACAGAACCATGGCTTTTGCTCTGCTCTTCCCCTTGAGGCATGGGCTCTTTCCTTGGGCCCTAGGTGAGGGAGGCTTTCCTGATTCTTCCCTCCTAGTTGAAGGCTTTTGTTTCATTTGAGATGCTGCCAAAGGGGAAGAGCTCTCTGCCATCTCCTGCCCCATGCCAGTCTTTCTCAAGAGATCTCAGCTGAGGCCCTTGGAGAAGAGCTTATGAATAAGGGCACAGTCCCCTTCTGTCTGGATCTTCCATGAATTTTTAACTGTCATCCTAGCTGACACTCCATCTTTATCTTTACTTCTGTCTTTAACATTCAGCCCATTGACTATGACTGTTTCCTTTGCACCTGTGGGTTGATACCTGCCATCATTGCCGATAAGTTCTTGGCCATTATCTCTTTATGTATTTTTTCTGCCCCGTTCTCTCTTTCATCTCCTTCTGGGACTCCAGTTAAACTCTAGTTAATAGACATTTGGTCTTGGATATTCAGGTTTGTTTTTTTATTTTCTCTTTGAGTTTCAATTTGGGTACTTTAGTTTGTCCTGTTTTCAAGTTCACTGTTGATTACTGTCTTTTATTAAATCCATTTAAAGAAATCTTTAATTTCTGATACTGTATTTTTCATTTCTAATGTTTCCCTGTAATCGTTTCTTTTCTAGCTTCAGTGTCTGTAATGAAGTTCTCCATTTCTTTAGTGTTTTTGTCATAGTCATTTTAGTCTGTTTCATAATCTCGACATCTGGGCCCTTTCTAATCAGATTATATAATAAGTTCATCTTTTGCCTGTGGTTTGCTATTCCCTGTATCTTGCAATTTTTTTTTAAAGTTTAGTTTTTAGAGAGAGAGCATGAGAGAGAGCTAGCGTGTGGGAGCAGAGGAGGAGGGGCAGAGAGAGAGTGGGCGAGAGAATCCCGAGCAGGCTCCTCACGGTCAGCATGGAGCTGGATGCACAGCTCCATCCCACAACTGCAAGATCATGACCTGAGCTGAAATCAGGAGTCGGATGCTTAACCAGCTGAGCCACCCAGACGCGTATCTTGTAATTTTTTGACCGAAAGCGGAATATTTATATAAAAACAGTACAGATTGAAGTAAATACTATTTACTTCCCGAAAACTGCCTGTTATTTCTCATGTTACTTTAATAGACAGTGAGGTTAAATCCATAAGTGTGTTGTTGAACTAGTTCAGGGTTTTTTCCAACTTTAGTATGCTAGTTCAAGTGTTTTGAGAGCAGGATTGAGACTTGACCTTCTGCAAGATTTGTTGTCAGAGTGTGATTTCACTTATCTCTCTGTGCTTTATATCTGAGCCTTCAGCTTTTTCGAACCTTGGGTGATTTCTCTGGTTTACAGCCCAGTTGTCTGTTCTTGTTCGTTCTGGAGTTCTTTTTGCCCTTGTCCTGCCCCAGGCTTTTGTGTGTGGCAAGATATCTCTGTGCTGGTAACACTGCCCTGGGGTTTCTCTCCGCACTCTTTCCCTTGGTAGTTCAGTGTCTGGAGTGTCTGAGTGGAAGTTTTTCTCGTAGCTCTCCTGTCCTACCTCGGCCCTTGGCAGCTGAATATCTGAAATCTTGGGGGTTGAGTTCTCTCCCTTCTGCCCCTTCTTTCCCCCTCCTTGTCAGAGGACAGATTACTTGCATTTGAGGGTATCTCTCAGCCTTCCAGGCCCGTCCCCCAGCCTTCAGCATATTTAGGCAAGCATGCAGTGAGGCCGTTGGGTGGTACAGGTTTGCTCTGTGAAATCCTTGGAATTTTTGTATGTCTTGTCAGCATATGTGTTGCTGTTAAAATTTATGAAAGGGGAGGTTGGTTTCTCCTTACCCTCCTCTGTGGTGGGGTGGCTCCTCCTTAGCCACTCCACCAGGAAGGAAATCATTTGGCAGCCTCTCTTTCATGGCTCAACACTTTCTGGAATTTAGTTCTACCTAGGTGGAACTCCTTTTTTTTTTTTTTTTTTTTAACATCCTGAGCTCTGACAGGTTCAGAAAAACCATGATTTTGTAGCCTTACCTGGCTTGTTTTGCTTGTTAAGGTGAAAATGATCATCTATTGTCATTTCTTCATCCTGATCAGAAGTGGGCCTCCTCTGAAGGAATACCTTTTACTGTAGCCTGGCAAATGCCTGATCAAGTGGGCCGCCATAATTCTAGCTGATTTCCTGTAGATGTTTCTTAGAGCTACGTTTCTAAATCTTCATTCTTCTCAAGTCTCAACTCCGATTCCATCCTCAAGTAGTAAATGATCTTGTCTCTTATTTTGAGATTAAAGCTATCTGCATTAAAAATTATGGGGCTTATGAAGAGTGTGGGGAAAGTTGTGGTAGTCGCAGAGAAAACTAAGCACATGACAAACTGAGATCTTTAACTGGAGAAAAGAAAGAGTTGTACAAAAAGGGAAACATGATTACATAGTAGTTTACTACCAGTCTCGTCAGGCACTATACCACTATCTTTGGGAGATAATTATTAAGGCTGGAGCAAAGTGAGCGGGTGTGGTATAAATCCTTTTGTTCTGTAATCAGTAGCTAACACCTATTCTGGATATTTCGGGGGGCGGGGGGGGGACCATCATGAGCCCATTACTGGAGATCTAAATAGCAAGAGTAAAAGTTAAAAGATTTTGAGGAATTGTACCTCAGTGTGAGAAGAGGAAATATATTTGACTTCAGCCACGGCACATATTGTTACTTAGATAAAAAGGAAAAAATAGTTTCACAAAGAGACCTAATTGAAAGTCGTCTTAAGGGCTGGTAAAAGTGAACCAGACCTTTTCTTCACAGACTCTGTTTACTTTTATTTTTAAATTCTTGTTGGTTTACTTCCCACTTGATGTCTTTTCCCTTCTTAACAGCTTTAGATTTTACTTGATGGTACTATGATGGTTTGTTTTTTAGGTTTGTTTCTACAATTCACTTAAGGTAGTAAAGACCTGTTCGTAGGAGAACAAGATCACTTCTGAAAGTCTGCTGTGCCAATCTGAATTTCTGTCTCCTTTTCACATTTGCTTGAGATACAACATTGAGATGTTTACTGGATTTTAAAGTTAGCCTCTAAACGATGCTTTCCGTGTTTCTGTGCCTCTTCTAGGTTAGGCGGAGAAGTGTCTTTTCTCAGCGTGGGCCGCGGCCTTTGGGAAGAGCATGTCGTCCATATTGCCCTTCACTCCGCCGGTCGTGAAGAGACTGCTGGGATGGAAGAAGTCAGCTGGTGGCTCTGGAGGGGCGGGTGGAGGAGAGCAGAACGGACAAGAAGAAAAGTGGTGTGAGAAAGCCGTTAAAAGTTTGGTGAAGAAGCTAAAGAAAACAGGACGATTAGATGAGCTTGAGAAAGCCATCACCACTCAAAATTGTAATACTAAGTGTGTCACCATACCCAGGTAAGTGTCGTTAGAGCAGTGCTTCGAAGGTCACCCTGTTCAGTTGCTTAATGGAATCCAAACGAATGGCACTGAAATTTTGTTCCCTTCCAGCCCCTGTAAATCGTGATTTTATTAAAAGATGACAGCTGTCTTTAACCTGTCGTTTCAGTTTTGTCTGACTAGTTTTAACCTTCACTGTATTCATTTACCTTCACTGCCCAAGTGCTTCACTATAGCTTATCCTAGTGTCTATGATTGAGTGACATTTGAATCCAGAGTCAAAAGGCTTTTCCTGTCACCAGTGCGGTGGTGACTGACCGTTTTCTCTCCCCTCGGTCAAGAAGCTCGTCAGTAAAGGGTTAACAGAGGCTGCTAACACTGTGATGAATTTTATTTCCATCATTTTTGCTTGAGTTGCAGCATTACTTCTTAGAACAGTCTAGGAGGCAGCTTCTTAGGTGTCTAGGGAGTCCGAACCGCTCTCAGAGACCTATCTGCCTCTTGTACGGGAAGGGCCTGTTACTTACAAGGTTAAAGTTTTATTAGAGTAAACCTAATTACTTAGATACAAGTACCACTGTCAGAAATACTGTTTCTTTAACAAAGTAGGTGTTTTTTAAGTGTTTCACTACTACGCATATACCATGCAGGGTTTGGGGCGTGGCAGCCTACAGCATTTTCTCAAATGACCGTAGCAGTGACAGCGGTGCAGGCTAGCATAAATAACCTGAGCTCGTCCCGCCTCACAGGCCTCCCTCGAGCTGTGGGGAATGCAGTCAGATGCTTGTTGACAAGAAACCCTGGTAACACCAGCCTATCAACTTGCAAATACAGTAGAACATTTCCTGCCTTATTTGGTAGATGAATTACCTTTTTCTTTTACTTTACTTGTTTCACATATATCTTTAAAAGAGTCCCTCTTCAGTTTATGCTTCTGAGTGCCTGCTGAGTGCAGGGCACTGTTTCTAGGCCCCTGGGGTTACAGTGTGACTGAAACAAAGTTCCTGCTCTTCCGAGGCAGAGACCTGCACAGTAAGCAAGTGGACAAATGGTATAAGTTGAAATGGTAATGAGTGCAAAGAAGACAGTGACTGAGAGCAAAAAAAGCTGCTCTGGATTGGCTTGTGACACTTAAACCGAGCTTCGAGAAGTAACAGCTAGCTGAAGGAAGAGTCCGCTAGGACAGGGTGGGGCCAGTGTGAAGACACCAGGTGAGACCTAGCTTATCGTATGGAGGATTTAGAAGGAGCCCGGGGGAGATGGAAGAATACAAAATGAGTCTGAAACTTGGACGAGGTCAGGCACTAACCTAGGGTGCTGTGAGGCACTGCGGGAGAATGAATTTTAGTCTAAATACAAATAGAAGGCAAACACGGGTTTTAAACTGATTTTTAATTTAAGCCGCGCGCGTGCGTGCGTGTGTGTGTGTGTGTGTATGTGTGTGTTCCAGATAGTGGGCCTGGAAGGAAGGGGATCAGGAGGCCAGTAAAGTGGTCTGAATGACACATGCTGGAGGCCGGACAGGCATGCTGGCTGTGCTGACACAGGAAGTGGACAGATGTGGATGGAGTAGACCTGAAAGGCCTTGGTAGTGAATTGGCCAAGGATAAGTCAAGCTGCACCTGCTAATTGTTCATTGTACAGTGCCTGGTATTTCCGTTCAGTAAACATTTATTAAGCACCCACTACGTGTGTGAGAGGCTCTTCCTCACAGGAGTTAAAATTTGGTCTTTGCTTTTGAGTTGTTTTTAGAAAGGGGGATAAACTTTACAAAATAAAGAAGATAATTTCATGAGGTATCATAGGTGTGAAGAAAGATGTTTGCTCAGGGAGTTATGTCCAGAGGAGAGGAATTTTGCCTACTCTGCAGCCTGTGGAAGTTTCCTTCAGGACTAGAATTGGTGCCAGTGTTGAATCTTGATGGGTGTACAGGAGGGATTTAGTCAAGACAGGCCTGGTTTGTCCAGAGTGGCACTGTGGTAGTGAGAGGGACAGTCAGGGGGCTCTGGTGAAGAGTTCTGAGCCAGCTAGTGTCTTGGGAGGCTGGACATCGGAGGTGGGATGTGGCTGGGCTGAGGCTGTGCAAGGAGTAAGGAACTACAACGTGAACCTGGACCTGAGCCTGAGTGTGGGTGAGGGTGGAGTCACTGAAGAGTCTAAGCACTGCATCTGGCTGCAGTGAGGAGGATGGTTGTGACACTGTTGAGAGTGGAGGCTGGGAGACTGGCTAGTAGGTTCTCTTCCTCCCCCGAGGGAGCCGTGTGTGCAGGAAGGATGCAGCGCCGTGGTTTTGGCATGATCGCAGGCTGAGGTGGCCCGGGCAGTGCCGTCTTGACAGGCCCCAGCCTGAGGAGAGCGCACGCAGCCCCTTCCTTTCAGGAGATAAAGAGGGTGGTGAGCTGGTGATTAAAATATGAGGAGGTCGCCTTAGTCAGAATTGTTTTCCTATTTCCCATTCTTGTTTTTATAGCCTCTTTTAAAGATCTTTCTAGGGTTCTTCTAGGGATTTTCAGCATTAACAAAAAAACATTTCTTTACTCTTTTACATGAAAGCGAAGTAGTGTTCATTGCCGTGTTTTTTACTGCCAAAAGTGCTTCGAAGTGTACAAATTTGGCTTGTCTAATTTGGTGGCTTTTTGTTTTTGTTTTTGGAAGAAGTGGAGATTTGTTAATATTAGTTGTTGTCACTCGAGAAGTCTTAAGTTTCTTATACTGTGGTTTGTGCCATATATTTTATAGAACTTGCTTTGTTTTTAGTAGTAGAACACTTCTGTTGTATCAGATTATTAATTTCTTTAACTACTAAGTGTCCTTAAACATTCAGGCAACTCTTTACTTATGTAGACTGTAATGATTGAGGAATAGGGGTGGGAAAGTTCCATAATGGATAAATCCAAGGCATAGTTCAGGCAGAATTATTTAAGATATGACACAAAATGGTTTTACTGTAAAAGTTTACGTACTTAAGGGGCGCCTGGGTGGCTCAGTTGGTTGAGCCTTCGACTTCAGTTCAGGTCATGATCTTGCAGTTCGCGAGTTCGAGTTGCACGTCGGGCTCTGTGCGGGCGGCGGGGAGCCTGCTTCAGATCCTCTGTCCCCCTCTTCTGGCCCCTCCCCCACTCACTCTGTCTCTCTCAAAATAAACTTAAAAAAAAAGTTTATGTACTTAAAACTGCAAGTAAGTTGTTCAAAAACCTTAAAGTTTTACAAACCTAAAAATACAAACTAGTTCCTCTGATGAAGGACACGAAACAAATCCCTTATTTTTAAAATCAGCAAGTGTTTTCTGCTCAGATATCTGTTTTGTTGACTGTTAATATTTTACCCCTCGACCCCTCTTCTTTTAATGTTAGGGCGGGACTAAATCTAGGACAGAAACCGTCGTGGCCCCGTGGCACTCCCACCCCTCACGTAATCACTCTGCCTTCATGGCCTCGTCTGTGAAGGGAGAGAAGCTGTAGTCCCACACAAGTGTCACTGCTCCTTCCCTCTTGTGGCAGGTGGTGATACAGAGTGATTCAGGGTAGAACTTCACCTTTCCAAGCCACGAGGAGCAGAGCTGAATAGTTTAAAAATAAAGTTTCATAAGGTTTTTATGTCTCAAACATTTTTGAGACCAAGGAATGGAAGACAACTCCCTCCCTCCCTGCCATTCATTAGAATGGCAGTTGCAATTTGGGTAATGATATCAATCAGAAGAAAAAAAAAGGCTTTCAATGCATATTGTCTGCAATAAAGCAAAATCTAAACTGTTGTAGGGTTGGAGACTCTGAAGTTGAAGGGAAGGGGCTGTGAGGTCTAAAACGGCAATTTTATAATATCCATTATATGTAAATGTATCGTAGTAAAGAATTCTTTTTCATAGACGGGTATTATAAGGCTTTCCTACAGTGGTGCTTTGACCGTGTTTTCACATTTTTGATCTGACATCCTAAGGAAACAGTCAGGAATATGGTCAGAGGTTGTTGGTGTTCATTTCGGTTTTGTTTGTAATAGCAAAGAATTAGAAAAATCCCAATCCTGACCCCTAGTGTTCTTAACTCTGATAATAAAGGAAACTTACCAACCCATTTTTTTTTTTTTTTACCAGAATTGGACATGAATAGTACAAGAAAAGCTTATTATACCAGTGTTACTTATAAAAATATTTGCAAAAATTGTAAGTAAATATCAGAAACCAGAGTTATTGGGGTGCCTGGGTGGTTCAGACGGTGAAGCGTTCGACTTTGGCTCAGGTCATGATCTTGCTGTTTGTGGTTCTGGTCCCGCGTTAGGCTCTGTGGTGACAGCTCGGAGCCTGGAGCTTGCTTGGGATACTGTGTCTCCCTCCCTTTCTGCCTTGCACCTTCCCCCCGCCCCCAAATAAGTAAACATTTAAAAAAGTGGAGTTATTAAAAACAACATCATGACTAGGAAAGGTTTATTGCAGAAAGGCAAGGATGAGTTCAACTGCAGGAAACCTATTAATATGATATACTCCACAATCATAATTAAGGTAACTCTGGGGCACCTGGGTAGCTCAGTCAGTTAAGCTTCCAACTCTCGATTTTGACTCAGGTCATGATCTTGTGGTTTGTGAGATCAAGCAGTGTGTTGGGCTCTGTGCTGACAGCATGGAGCCTGCTTGGGATTCTCTCCCTCTCTACCTTTCCCTGCTCACTCACGTGCCCACTCTCTCTCTAAGTAAATAAATATTTAAAAAAAAAAAAAACAAAAAAACCCCTCTGATCATCTTGATGGACTTAGATTTTTATCAAATTCTGTATTTATTCATGTTGACAAATTAGAAATGGGAATTTCCTTAACTTGATAAAGCATATGTCTAAAAATGTTAACCATGAATCTTTAGAGACAATATACCAAATTATTAATAGTGGTTATTTATGGATAATCTAAAAAAAATGAAAGTTCTATTATAGCCAGCATAATTAAATGTTTAAATAGGACTTTTGGGCAATACATAAACTATGCTTTGCTTTTTTTTTTTTTTTTTTTTGGAGCCAGTTTTTTTGTTAAAA